AGAGTTGTCTTTGGTTTCTTAAACATATTGCATTTCTCCAGATGAAAAATTCCTGAAATGTTGTAGAAAATTTCCTGGAGACAAGAAAATATGGTATGATTTGTGAAAGAATATCTGCCTGCCATCCTCAAGTGCAACTCTCTGGTTTGTATTTTCTCAATGATATCTGCAGCACCACTCTGGCTGATAAACAGCTCCCCATTTATTGTCAGCAATTTGTGAGCACACCAGCCACTATATCTTTGATGTGACTGAAGCAGCAGGGGCCGTTTTCTTTAGGAAATAACTTTAGACTATCTGTTCTGGCTTTGTATTTATTTTTAGACAATGCTGATCACCTACAACACGAGGTGCAGGGAAAACTTCTTTGAATTTATACAGGAGTCCAATTCATAGACTGAAATTTTAGAAAAGCAGACCGCTTGGTGCTTGAGAAATTCAAAAAAAGAAATTGCTTTAAAGTCACTTAGATGCAGAAAATAACTGAACGAGAGCAGACATAAAAAAAGGCCAAAATATACTTAATTTCGTTAGGCGGTGAGAAAAAAATGGTACTATTTAACAGACAAATAATAATCTATTGTGCTTGTAGTTTTAGACTAAGACTAGGATTTTAATTTAAATTAAAATTAATTTTAAATTATTTACTGGTTTACTTGTAATTTACTTCTCCCTTTCGACTGAGATTTTTTTAGTTTGTTATATTTTGTAGGGCTTCCCTTCAAACTTAATTGTAATAGGGACTGGTGTGGGTGAGAGAGGCGAAGATTTGAATCCATCAAAATTTGAATTCTGGGACTTTCTGAGCCTTTGGGACTTTTTTTAAGCCTTGCCCACACAGCAGCAGTTTGAGCAACTATTTCTTGAAGCAAGAGTCACAAATCTGTTTTAACTTCTGAAATTTTTTTTGTTTGGTTGGTTTTGGTTTTGTGTTTTTCCTCCCACTGCTGCAGAAATTCCCAATAATCTAATTTGGTGGGTGCTCCAGAAAGGGGTAACTAAAAGCCTTTGATCACAGTGAACCATTTTTAGAGCCGTATTTTTTTCTTTTTTTAAACAGCAACCACTTACGTGATAATGATCCAGTCTCTTTTAATGACATCTTTCTTCTTTCTCACTATGATCACCAGATTCACGATGTATTGGTGTTGAGGGAAGGCAGGTGGCTGCAGTGCCTAAGAGCTGTCTGTGGCACATTTTCATATATAATATGTACATCTGTGTGATATATGTTCTCATTGATTGCCATGTACTTAAGATGGTAATTTGAGGGAAAACTCACTCTGTAATTGTGTCCATGGCTGATAGATTGTGCATGTTATCTGGCCCTCACAATTTGTGTTTAGTCAAAAGATATTGTTGTACTCAGGTTTTGCTCTAGCATCTCAATATTAAATTGTGAGGTGTTTTTTTTTAATAAATAGGAGCTTGAATTTTGAAGTTGCCAATTTAATAGATCCTTTTCTCCAAGATCATGGCTCAGCTCATTTTGTCTTTATCTTTTTCTTTATAGGTTCCATGGCTTTGACCTTGATGTTCTCCCCAGGTCCATTAGTTAATTTAAATCTATCCCATAACAAACCTAAAGAAAGTAAATGTTGTAAGCAAGAGTTGTCTATTTCTGTTCATAGAGTGGCTACGGAATGTTGCTCAAAGTAAACATCATGCTGAATTTAATGCTTGTTCTTGCATAATCTTTTCACAAAGGTTTGCAAACTCCCAGTACTCATAGTTAATAACAACAAAAGGGTGTACAGAGCAGTGCCTCCCCCCTGACAGCTTCAGAAGATTGGAATGCTTCAAGTGCACTAGCTTTCTGCTTTTGCTGGTTCCTCCACAAACATTTGCAAGAGACGATCCCAGAGCTCCCAGTGGCTCCAGCTCTGCTGTCCCCGCTGTTGTGTGGTGCCTGAAGTGCTTGGGGCAGCAGCCGTGCTGCCCAAGGGGAACACCGAAGAAGCAGGGAATGCAGAGTCTGGAGGCAGTGAATGCAACCTAGCCACGGCCACGCTGATGCTAGGGATGCTTCTGTGTGTAAGCTCCTTATGTGTCACTTCATTCTCCAGGCTCTTAGTTCAACTTGCTAGCAGAAGGCATTCCTCCAAAATACCTTTCCATTAGGACAACAGTGATCTAAGTCTTTTGGCTGCAGCTGTGGTCTTAATGCTGTGTGTTGTATGAAGGCCTGTCCCTGAAAGCTGATGCTGGCCCCATTTTAAAGTGCCCTGCTCTGCTTTCATTTTTTCATTTTGTTTGCAGAGGCTGTGGTGTGACAGCCTTCCCTCTGTGATGCCGTGAAATCCTGCCCTGTGTTCAGCGGAGGCCTGTGTTCCACACTTTGAGACCCTGACATCAATCACATTATTTTTTTACTTCTTCTTAGTCCTCAACAAGGGGAAAAGCGCTTTCAACCGCATGTCAGTCTCTCTTCTTTCAGCTGGTGCTTTTCTAGCTTTTTCTAATGGAAAAAAAGGACAGCAATATGCTATTTTGTGTTTCTGATCTGACAGTGTTTCAATGGTAGAGTTACAGGTATTGAGGAACTCACCATTACAACAGATTCCTCCTCTAAGGGTTGCACTTGGATTCCACATGTCCCTTGAAAACAGCAAATTCATTTCTGAAGGGGCCTCAATAGAAGCCTTTTCATCCCAAAGGAAAAAAATTTGAAAATCTAGTGGAAAAGAATTATAAGATGCTTCAGGATTCTAGTAATTCAGACCATGAATTATTTGCAATGTAGAAAATAAGTTTATAGTGGCTGGGGGCACTAGGGGGTCAGGGGGTGGAAAGAATATTGTTCTAGCAGAGGAATAGTACAAGATAAGTAATTAAAGGCTACGTCACTTTTGCTAAATGAAAATCTACAAAGAATCAATCTAAATGTACAGTTGTCTGTCAGCAGCTATTCTAGGTGCAAAGATATGGATTTTTCTATTGTTATCCCTTAACACGCGTTGTGCATGTTAAGGGATCCCTATCCCTTGCACAAAGTATGAGCTTCAGTGAGGTTCAATAAGCCTCACAGGGGAACATGGGTTTTGTACTGGACCTGTACATGATGTAGTTTCACCCAGAAAAAAACAGCTACAAGAATGAGAAGACTGTAGAATGGGAAAAGACATCACCAAATAGCAAAATATTTCAAGAGAATGTGTAAATTAGGGAGCAAAAAGCATTCTTGACTGGTCTTATTTTGAAAATGTAACTTGAAAATCTTGGAAAAGCTTAAAATCTAAATAACTACACAACTTCGTAACTATTACATCACAGTTACTAATTTCTGAATTTCCCTTGAAAAGGCCTGTGTTGCTATAGTGAGCCACCATTAAGTCAGGGACAGCAAGTTTAGGGTGTCTAGAAAAAGTTGGTGGACTCTATGTGACATAAAAGCTATATAGCTGATCAATGGTGCATGGGGTTAGTGACCAACCACGACGTAATTTTTCTAATAAGAGAGTTTGCTTCTAGGTAAGTAGATTTCCTTCCGTTAAGCTCAGACAGGAAGACGGAGAAGTAGAAAAATATGTAGCTTGGTGTTTAATGAAAAACATTAGAACTGCTTTTGATGGCCATCAACACATTATTCTCATCTGCACATTGCTATACATCAGTTCAGCTGTTCTTAAATGTAATTTAAAAATACTATAGGAGAAGATTTTGATCAGGCTTGATTTGCACCTGGAAGGGCCTACAAGAAACTGGCCTTTGTAGAAACTGCAGTGATGAAGACATTCAAAACTCTGTTGTTTCTGGTACATGACAGCTGGAGAAAAAATTTTAATAAAAAAAATTTTTCTACCTAAAACGGTTAGTCAGCATGTACTTTGAGGCCCTGGTACACCTGTTTCATCAAACTGATTACTTTCATGCTTGTGAGTATGTCTGTACATCTGCAAAAGAGTGTTTTATTTATGTAGGCTTTCACATAGGAGTGACTGACATCCATAATGTTTGAACATTAATTTTCTGGAGCTTCAACACATATCTGAGCTGTGACACAGCTAGGCTTATATTCATACAGATACCTTGAAGCTCAGGAAGGTACAATAGGTTCTCGATTATTCCAGTGGAAATGAGTTTTTCTGGGCTAGGACTGCATTCAGTCTAGCAGCACATCTTTGAAAATGCAGCCTGTGAAGACCACCATTTTTGTCACTGTGTCCCTGGTCTTTCTGTCTGCAAACCTCTGCTATAACAAGCTCACCATCTTGATTCATTGTCCCAGTGCAGACCATAGTGACGGCAGAAGACGTAACTGCTACTTCAAAGAGAGCCCCACTCTGCCCGTGTCAATGTACTCGCTGAACCGAGCATTGCTCATGTTCAGTCCTTCTGCGCCACTTTCATTTTTTTAAAAAACAGCATATTGATTTTATTTTCTGCCAAGAAAAATTTCTGAGCACAGTAAAATGGTTACCAGAGAAAAAAATGATAACTTTTATAGTTATTGAATGACTTCTCTTGCTGCTGAAAAAAACAGTAGTATCCAAAATTTGTCAAAATGTGGCATTTTTGAATCTACAGTTGTGCAAATTAGACACAACACTTTTAAATTGTTATAGTATTATAATACATTTATAGGCTTTCTTTTAAAAATGAGCTTTGTTTAATGTGTACCATGTATCTAGCTTGAAACAATTACTTATTTTGCCCATTTTAGCATTAATCAGAATTGCCTGTGTATAACTGGAGAAACGCATCCCCTGCAAAGAGGAGGGTAGCTTCTTTAACAATTCTCCCAAGTGATTTAACAATAGGTGATTTTTTTACAGGACTCTTTTTCTTGAGCGTCAGCCAGTGAAGTGTATTCTGAGTTCATATATTAATATCCTTCACAGAATCACAGAATCACAGAATGGTAGTGGTTGGAAGGGACCTCTGTGGGTCATCTAGTCCAACCCCCCTGCCGAAGCAGGGTCACCTACAGCAGGCTGCACAGGACCTTGTAAACACAAGGACCTTCATAAACAAGAAATCTGTTTCGATTCAATGCAGGGGGTAAAAACATTTTATTTAGCATCACAATGTTTATTAATAACTGGTTTGGAATTTGGAATATTTGCAGACTAGTTACGGTGTGACTTTTCACAGTATGAAATTAATCACTTTGACTGTTAAAAAAATAAAAGATTAATTGGTTTTGTGTAGTGTTGTATCATTTATTGTGGTAGCTGTTAAAAATAGATAACCAGAGGCGAATAGATGTTAATGGTCCCTTTCACTATTAAAAAAATCAATTTTTCTTGGATACAAAATATCTTAATGTGCTGGTTTTGCTTAAAAGTGTTTGATTTGAAAATACCCAAACAAATAAGTCTGCATTCACAAATCATCTCTGTTTTACCAGCACTTGAATTTTCATGTCAAGTATGATAAATATTTTCTGTGCAAATTAACCGTGCACTTGAAGAAAGGAGAAGACTGGGCGTGTTACTGAGAAACAGTTATTCAGTACTTTTTTAAATATTATTTTACATATACTCATGTAATTTTTTTAAGGGCTGTGTCATCTAGGTTAAGAAACCTTTCCACAGCTTTCATACATTTCTTTCAAACTTGTTGGAGAGCAGCTAGATTTTAAAATGTAAGTAATTAAAATTGTAAGCTATTGAGTTATTGACAAATACTGAGCTATTAATCAAGCTAAAAAATTCTACAGTCAGGGTTCAGTGCTCTGAAGCACTGTAAAATAATAGTATTTTTGTTCAGTGATGCAAGTAGCCACAATTAAGCAGTTCACTTGACAAATGAGATAGTTCATTTTATTTTGCACTTAATTGAATTGTACATGCTTGGTCACCATTGTCTCCTTCCCTTTAGTTTTGGTTTCTAGCCATTTAAACATATACATTTATTAAGGAGAGTGCAATTAAGTTCGTGTTGGCCATTGGGTCTAGAAATGCAGACTTCAAAAGCTATGCCTTAAAACATGCTCTGGGGTAAAAATCATTAATCTCCCTCTAGAATAATTCTTAATTTTCTTAACAAAAAGTCCAATGAGCTTGTAGGAGACTCACTAACTTAAGTCAAATGTAAAAAAAAAACCCTGTGTGGGAAGCTGATATTAAATCACTTTTACCAAGCAGAAATATATAGACATTATTTCTTCACATTTTATTTTAGTTAGTAACGGTGCCTGCATTTCAACAGTCCTGTCTCACCTTGCTGTCTTATGTCCTTTTCTTTCTAAGTTTGCAGTCTGTTCATTATGATTCTGAAATAGTAACATCTCAGTCAGGTTTTTTTGTTTATTATGTTTTTTTTAACAAACTGTAGTGTTGAAAACCTAAGTTCTGTGTTTCATTTCAAGATCACAAAAAAAGTTTTTTAAGTCTGGATGGAAGAAACGTGATAATTAAATGCAAATATTTTTCAACAGCAGTAAGAAAACAGAAAGGTAAATGTAACATGGTGGTTATCTTTTCCAATGTCTCTCCCTGAAAAAGGTGATCTCAAAAAACCTAGATTCCTTCAAAGCAATATGAAGAACTTAATTGCAAACAGCCACAGAGCACATCTAGGATACAGGTATAACAATCAGGCATATATTTGTAGGGGAGACTGTAGTTAGCACCAACAGACAGGGGATTTCGTCAGTCTCTTAGCTCTGATGTGTGAGGAGTTCTTTCGTGACTAAGGAATACCACACTGAGTTCGGAAGAAATGAGGCAGGCATATGATGTGTAGTGCAGGCTCACGAGCTTGATGAATTCTGTTTCGTGTGACATGCTTCCTGTAGGCTCTCAGTCAATTCCTGCACAAGCATTTCACATTTGCTAAAGAGGTCAGGAAGTTTTAGATACATGTCTCCAAAGAAAGCCCCAGAGAATTGCGCGGGCAGTTCTTTTTGGAAATCGCTGGAAAACCAGGTGCTCCTGCCCATACGGTTTCCTGTTCATGGCAATAGAAAGCACTGATTGCATGGTGTTTCTCTTTCCCGTTGCAGGCCCTACCAGTGTGGTCACTGCTCCCAGTCCTTCTCCCAGCCTTCAGAGCTGAGGAACCACGTAGTTACGCACTCCAGCGACAGGCCTTTCAAGTGCGGCTACTGCGGTCGTGCCTTCGCTGGTGCCACAACACTCAACAATCACATCCGGACACACACTGGGGAAAAGCCCTTCAAGTAAGTACTTGAGGCCAGAGCCTCTGCCAGCTGAGATTATGGCGGGATGTGCATCACTGCTATTCACTAGCATCAGTGGTCCGTACCAGCACACGGCAGAGGTTTCCTTGAAAGCCAAGGCCAGACCTCCAGAAAAATCTGTTAGTGGTGTAGCTAAAATCAGGGTTAAACCAGGCTTGGTTTTGCGTGCCTTGCAAGCGCTGAGCAATTTTCTGTCCTCTGATGAGAACATGGTTGTTTTTATCAAATGACTAGCTGCTGCCTGAGAACCACAGCGGAAAATACGTTCAAGATTGGGACAGGCTACGCTGTAAGAACATTAATATGGCTCCTTACTGTCTGTACGCTGAGGTAGATGGAGCTTTGTGTAAAGCTAATTTGGAACCGGTTAAATATTGGGGAGAAACATGCATCTTTTTTTACTCTCAGAATCACTGCTTAGAAAATGCAACTCTGGCTTCTGTCATAAGTTTGGTAAGATCATAATAATAAATAGACCGTGTTCAGCTGTCCAAGTTATAAGAAAAAAAGCTCACCTGGTCAAGATGTTATTTTATTAAACACACTCTGGTTATTTCTGCAGTTTCTGTTTACTGAAATTCAAGCCAAGCACACACTTGACTCAGAAATTTTCTCTCTACACTCGTCTCCAGCCATAGCACAGCTGATCCAGGTGGATTTTACCTTCAGTTGTGCAAGACTCTGCCTACCTAAAGGGAGGTGTTCTCCAAGACAGAATACAAATCTTCCACATTAGTGTCTGTGCCTTTGCTGAACTGGCAGGCACAAATTTTATGGACATTGTACCTGGAATAATCCCACTTTGGAAGAAAAATAATGTGTTGGTATCAATGTATAATGTGTTGCTATGACTTCAGAAAGGTACCTGACGTTCCCAGGAGGAATGAGAATAAGTGTAGAAGAAGGTGTGCATCTCCCCCTTTTATCCAAGGACTGTATGTCCATCTACTTTTCTCCATTTGTCTTTCTTTTCTGTTTCTGCTGTACTGTGCTCTTGGTCTGGTTAATGTAAGGGAGCTCAGCCATGGGGCCCGGCAGAACCCCTCATAACAAGTTCAGTAGAGATACCAGTAGAGATGCTTTGCCTCCATATATGGTTGAAAGGAAGCAAGTCCCCCATACATGTCTCTGCTGGGGGCAAGGGGACAGAGCCAGGAACCAAAAACTGCGTATGCAGTACAGAAGAACTTGTATACCAGAAATCATGGCTAGGACACAGTTGTAGGTGGCAAAACACGGAAACTCAAAGCATCTAAACATCGACTCCTCTAGAGCCAGTCTGTTGAATGCTCAGAACCCATAGAAAGAGAGCCAAAAATAGTGTGAACAATCAGATTGATTTTATCTAGTTGCTGTGTAAATAGATTTTAGTAATTAACGGAAGAGGTTTCCGGGTCAAAATGGAAAATAGATTTCTTTAATGTTAAGGTGTTACTTATGTGTAACCTTGTTGACTCCACTTAATTTTTTCCCTTAACTTCCTGTTTTTGTCATGTTTCCAATAGATCTGATATTTTACCCCATTTAGAGTCATTACTTTTCCCCTTTGGTTTAGTAATTTTTTTCCCCTTTTCCATAATGGTCTTGACTACAGCACAATTTCATTTGTGAAAGGACTTGATGTATGTACTACAATTAACCACTGGTCTGGGATTTGTTTGTTTTGCCCTGCTTATGCTGAAATATTTAAGTATTCCAGAATGTGTCTGCCCATTCATAAAGGTGCAAGGCAGAGCAACAAAAAAATATGTATTCTTTGAACTGCTTCTTTATGATGTATAGCAAAATTTCATTCTTGTAAAATTTTTGTTTAGTGTCTTCCTGAAACTCAAGAGACAGTAGTACCAACTTCTCTCTGGAAGAGCTGTTGAAGTATTTTCAGTAAGCTGACTAGTAATTTCACACGAAGCTAAAACTGGAGCTGCAGACCTTCCCATCCCTGATAGTCAGATAAGGGGACACATACACCCTGATCCTGCAAGCTGTTCAAAAGGGCAGATTTGCCTCCCATGCAGGACTGTTTGCATTTGAGAGAGAAGGGGCAGAAAACTTATCCAGAAATTGATCCACCCTCTTTACTGGAGGAAAAAGAGATAGCTGCAGCTCATCATGATATTTCATCTCCAAGAGCAGGCAACATGTGAGAACTGGTGTTAAATAAGCTTAGGAAAAAACCTCAACAAATTCTAGCAAACAAGAGCCACAAACAGCACAAACAAGATTTCTGTCTCTTTATCATGCAATTTAGGTTTTAAATGTTTGTTTACAAATGGATTTTGAGTGTATGCTTACCAAAAAAGTACAAAATGGAAAAGTCTGTTGAGATACGGTTTCTGTACCTCAAAAAAGTCTATATTTGTAGTGACGTACATAATTCCGTTGAATAGTATTTTACTACTAGCAAGAATGACCATGCATGGATAGTGCTAAATTACTTTAATTCTAGCAAAGTTATTTTAAAAATGACAGGCATAATTTTAAATGTATTACTGAGTTCTATTTCATAGATAAAAATGGGCAGTCAGCTGGACGGTTAACTTGCATCTATTGTGAAAGCAACCTCACTATTTCTAATGCAGTAAAGCAGCTATATTTGTAAGTGGTATCTGGACAAATTACAGTGTGCATGGATGAAGCAGGCAATGTCAAACACGAAATGTGTGTTTGTATGCATATTATTTTCAGAAGGTGTTTTTAAAAATTATGAACACAGGGTGACATTATTTTAAAATATATCGAATTAATTGTTATTTAAAAAGAAGGCTGTGATTGGTTAAAAAGCTTTTTCTGTGAGAAGGTGCTTTCTTTGTAGGTCCTAGGTAACTTTGGATATATGGTGGAAGACTTCTCTATTTGTTTTTCATTACAGATAACAATGCTAAGTGAGGTTATCTGTAGTCAGAGCTTTAGCCGCATTGCCTGGACTGCAGGTCCAGTTAGGAGAGATTTCTTTTCATGTCATCACAAGCTATCAAGTCAGCCTTACCACTGTAAAGTTTTGTGTATTCTTATCTTATTGAAGTCTCCACTATGGCTGCTGGTCTGGGAACAAAACTCTTAAGTAAATTAAAAGGTAGGAGAAAAACAAAAATTGTTAGCCATCCTCATTTTCTTAAATTCTTCCCCCCCTGTCTCATCCATTTCAGCAAAATTAAAGAATTGTTAAGGGACTTGCCTGCAGAATCAGGGTTATGCAAACATCCAATATTCAGAAGTGAACTGAAAAGAATTAGAGGAAAGATTCTTTCAGATTGAGATAACCCAGGTAGTTTTCATTATTTCTTACTGAAATGCAAATGTGGGGAACATTCATTTTACAATGAATATAGATATTGTACCTGCAGTGACATCTCAGTTTTGTCCTGTTTTGGGTTTTTTTTTTAACCCTTTCAAATGAATTTAAAATCTAGTGTTAAACGTAGGTCTTCAATGAAATCTTGAAACTTTTATTTTGCAAACATCAAATTAAGATATTTTTTCCTGAAATAGACCCTCAGCATTTTTTTCGCCTTAAGCCTTTCACAGAGGTTGGCATAAACTTGGTAATTAAAGCAAGCCTGTCTGTATTCCTCAATGTTAATGTTTTGAAAGCACTGGGAAGCAAACAAGCGGAGTGACGTGACAATGAAGGCTATCTAGCCATGCTCAGAAAACCCAGTACCTTAGAAAAATCCAAAACCCATTGATGTTCATGTCGTTTGTGAACTGAAGAACCATTTTGTTTACTGCCCCCATCCAAGCAAATCACATGGGGAAACCTGGTGGTAGAATGAAGTCTTGCGTTTGATGGGGTTGAAGGTTGTAGTACAACATTGGTCCTTACAATTGAAATGAGGGCACACACACATTGCAAAAAAAGATAACATGGATCTAGTTTTCACTGATGACATCTACTTGTGTGAGAACTTTTAAGTTGCTTCTTTGGATCTATACTGTGTCAAGGGCTGTTTAAATTACTCTCAAATGCCATCAGATCTCTTAAGTGGAAATTAAGTGGTCTCTCAGTTAATAGGTATCGTTATTGCCAGTACTCATACCTACACTTGAGGCTTAACCAAAAATTTGGTGTGTGTCTAACAGCCTAGCTTTGGCTCAGCCCCATGGGTACTTTGTGAGTAGCTGCATGAGAGGTGGACTCTTTTTCCTTTCTGACTGTTTTGGCTACTATTCAAACTTCCAACACAACATTAAACATGTGGCTTGTAGTATAGAAGCATGCACACACAAACATGCACACACATGCTCACCAGTCTCATAGACACAGGTCATTGCGGTGGTTATTTTGCTATGACAAGA